GTGACCTAAAACATTGCTGGTGATTGGATGAAAGGACAAAACATTGAGGAAAAATGTGTCTTTTGCAAAATAACCATATTAGTTTGAACGAGGCCCAAGTGGCTCAGATCACAGCACACACTGCCCTGTGACTCATGACACATTTTCAGAGTTCAGAGGCTTTTTTTTAAAAACACAGCCCGTCTTTTTTGCTGTGGATGGTGTTTTTGTGCAGCTGCAGCTTATAGGTGTGAGACACAGCGGCAACCCATCTTCTCTCTATTTCCAAGGACAACCATTGAGAAAAGAGCTTTAGCACCGCTGGGCTCTGCTTCTTCGTCCATGGACCCATTTTTCACTGGGCTCTTCCATGCATGGACACAAAAGCTTTAAGTAATGGATGTACAGGTGAAATAGTTGATGATACATAGCTAGAAAAATTTGATTAAAAAAATAATGGATGAACAACAATGGAAAAGTATAAAACTAATGGAGAAATATTGAAAATATTTCCCGTCCAAATGGTGCGAGATGAATGCGAGCCAAACCCAAGCACTGACAGTTTAACTGAAAAAAATGTTACAGGCTAATAATGTCAACTTGTGTATATTTTATTGCATTAAACCATGTGGAACTAATCTAGTCACTTCTTTTTCCTTTAATTTGTCTCTCACTCATCATTTTACATGTATAATTCTGGATAAAACTGAACGGATATTTAGTGTAATTATGTGAGTATTAAATGATGAATCTCAATATCGGGTTTTTCCCTGTGTGCCGCTCTGTAGAGTTGATGAATAATCATTAGACACGTCTGACTTCTGTGCCCCATCCTCCTCCACGTTTCCCTTCCCTTCCTATTCTATACTTCCAAATATAATCTATTCCTCTATAAAATATTCATTTAGTGTAATTACATGTTAAGTACCCAGTGATTCGCATATATCAATTTGAAACAGAACCATAGCATGTGAAGCCAAACAAAATCATCTGAAACCGGGCTGGAAAGTATCACTTAAACATTTATTCTCTGACAGAGCTCTTCATTTCAAAGCGCTGTCTGCGTCTTTGAGCTCGGAGCAAGAGAGCCTTGGCCTCTGTCTTCAGCTGGTAACCAAGTAAAACACATGGACATCCTTAAAGGAAGCATTTGGCAAATTGCTTGAGAAAAAATGCTTATATGTGGAAAAGCCTTGGCTTTGCCATCCCCTGGAAACGATTCTGTGGTTTTGTGGTGGGGAATGAGGGTTTAGACAGCCATGGTGTGCGAGCGAGGGAGTGCGAGCATGTGTGTGAGCTGGGCTTCATTCACACACTACCTCAGCTCTACCTGAAGTCCATCCTCTTCTTCTCAGGCTCTCCGCCTTTTCTTGACGCTATAAATATCCCGCAGATATAAATGTCATTTCCCCATATCGATCAGCTAAAATAGGTTCTTTCTATTGATCCCCCCCTCCTCTCTCTCTGCCTTTATCACGCTGTTGCAGCAGAAATGAATTAACTTCTGAATATTCAATCTTGTTGACAAGAAGCTGTTACTCCTGTCCACAGCTGACATTTATACCCCACAGTCTGAGTGTTGCTGCAGTGGATTTATTGGCTTGTTCAGGTCACTCAAACTGTGTAATGTAAAGCCACTGGATGTGTTCTCGCTCCTGTTAGAGCCTCTTTGTCTGCTTAGAGTCACTGTTTTTCTCTTTCCTTATCGACTCTTTTTTTTTTTTTTTTCCTTTTTCCTCATCGTCTCGCTGAAGAAGCTCGTGGTATAATTCAGCTGGAAGCGCCACCTAGACAGGAATGTCCAGGTTTTATTTCCTGTTAGATTTGTCTACCAATCACAGGGGATTCTCTGGTTGAATTCCTCTCTGCTCGCATTCTTGGAAGCTGCATGTTGTAGAGAGCGTTTCTCGGGCCGACTAAGGGGGTTTGGAGGAAAGGGAGGCTTTCAGTGAAGAATCTGGATAAAAATAGGAAATGTATAGATCTTGCTGGAAGAAAGAGAGCTTTGTGGGGAAGAGGGTTCAGTGCTTTGTGGGTGTCTGATGCTGGTAAGAAATGAACACGACATATCTGTCAAAACGAAGACACGTAACATGTGCTGCTATTTACATATAAAGGGATTTTGTCCGAATGAATATAACATGTAAATTAATCTGGAAAAACTACAAGGGGAATAATCAAACGTGACTTGATCAATCGTCGTGGAATAGGAATGGATTTTTAGTCGGCCTGATGCAGCTCAGTCATCAGTTTTTTTGATGGTTTGTCACTGGTCGACCTTTCCTCTCCAGTCAGAAATCATGGAATCAGATGAGACAAGAACGATGACAGTAAAAGATGAAGCTCCCCACATTTCAATCCCAGTTACACAAAGAGAAAGTTGATGTTGTTCACTGCTATGACTGATTTCCAAACCGTCAGACTTAGAACGCACATTTTTGGTGCGAGACTCAAAGGCTGATCTTCGGCCACAAACTCATCGAATCATCGACGTCGGCCTTTCCTCGTTAAACGGGGCAGATAGCGGAGGATGACTGATGAGCTGCCATGTGCAATGGATGACAGCATAATAATCCTGCTTCTGCTTCTTCCTCCGCTGTCTTTATTCCACGTCGTTTGCCTTTTTTGCTCTCACTTTGTTCTTCTTCCACTGCGCTGAGATAAGTGCGCCGATGACGGGGGGAAACGGTTCACTCAAATGTGAACAGAAGAGATGAAAGAGCAGCTGAAAAAAGAAAAAAAATAACGGTGACACACTTACTGTGACAGTTTTGTTGTGTAAGATATGTGCGATCATGGAAAGTAAGCATATTTTCAAAAGTGCCGTGTAATTAGTCCAGTACACTTACGAAGAAAAAAAAAAAAGAGAGAGAACCAGTCCAGAGTTTTTTAATGCATCACTAATAAGTTAGACTGTAGCCATGAGGCTGGCCTTGAAGTGGGGACCAAACCTCCTGTGGGATTCAAGATGCTGTGTAATGAAGCTGTTCCTATCGTAGTGTAGCAGAAGTGTAACCTGTTGGGCCTTTGAAAGTGTATTTTGGGGCAAAGTCACCAAACCTTTTAGGTGACTTTTATTGGATTTGACAGGTGATTCTATACATGCGGTTTTTATGTGCAGTTATGGCTCTCTGCCAGTTCATTTAGGTAGGAGCCAGGTCGTGTTAGCCTCAAATAGCTGCCCTGGGGTGCTACCAATATGGCTCCCGAGTGGTGAGACTTCACAGTGCACCACTATACTAGAACTGGTAGGAACTAAAATGGAAGTTTGCTAAGTTTAGTTTGGATTATGGTTTCATTTGCTAATGATAGTGTGCAATTGCCTGTCGTAGAATACCTGTTATCTTTACTTATTTTCTTCATATCTGCATTAGGGCTGGTCCAAATAGCAATTTCTGGGCTCTGGATATTGAGGCCCATTTAATGACAAATATCTGAATATTCGGTCCGACCGGGGGGGGTATAGTGGCGGGTGAAGAATATTCGGACCAACAGGGTGGAAGTGGGCAGGACGTACAGGCAGTACTTGGCTATCCGGATACCACAACAACCGAATATTCGGATATCCAACCCTGATCTGCATATTGGGTTTGGGACGTGTCCCCCCCGTTATATATACTATATGTACAGCCCTGCTAATAACAATCCCCTGGAAAACTATATGTCTTTGTAAATATAACACTCTAGAATAAGCTGTTCTGGATAAGTTGCGCTTTTAATTTAGATATTACATATTTATATATTAAAGTGCACATTTGTTTCCATTTGACAATGTGAGTAAGACTTTAAAACTCCTTCTACCACCTGGCAGATATTTGTTTACACTGTAAATCTTAGGTACCTGCATAATATTGGCATATCTGAAATTGTAAAATTATACATCCTTATTTTAAGAATGTAATCTAAATACAGTGTCCAAATGCAGTAAAATACTTTAGTTTTTCACATCATCTCTGAAAATGTGCAACAGGAATTGGCATATTAAAGCCTAATGAAATGCCTGAAGAAATATTACAGCAGCAACTTGCATTTATTTTCACTATGAAGTCATCTGCTGCTCAGTAAAAACAAAATAGTGAAAAAATCCTTTCACATCACATCTCATTTAATATTATTATTTCAGCTATTTGAATCACTTTATAATTCTGCTATATTGAGTTTTTTTCTCTGTGTTCATCATAGTTGCTGCTGTTTGGTTTTGTTGATTCAAATCCACACCTAGTTACCGTCACTGGTGTGTCTGGACAGGCAGGTAATTATTGACTGTTTGTGTGGCCGTGGACCTCTCACCAGCGTCCATCTCTGTGTAATGTCTGACTGCCTGGCGGGGGTGGTGGGGGGAGAAGGGTGAGGTCGTGAGAACCTGACAATCCCACAGAGAAACACACCTTTCTTTGTGTGCTCTCAAACCTTCCTAGAAAACTCCCATCGGTTTGGCCTAACCAACTTAGAATAACTGGTTGATTGTTGGTGATGTGTGCGCTGGTTTGGACAGGAAATTAGGTTAATTACGCCTGAAACTCTGGCACAGAGAGCTGCAGCTGAGTTTGAGTACAAGCAAACACATCAAACAAGACACGCTGATGGGCGGAAATCTGGAAACCAACACCAGCTCCGGCTTCATGTCCGTCCAAACTCGACTGTGACCCGCGTGTTTGATGTGTGCGTGAGCGTTGGCCAAGGCCCGCTGAGTCTGTCCTGAAGGGCCTGATAGATGGCACTAATAGCAGACCGCTGAATGGACTGTTTCCAGTTGTAAAAGCCGAGCCTCTGCCAGCAGCGATTTCCGTTTTTCAGCCTAAGACACTGCTAACAATGAGCTGAGAAACCACAAGGATGAAGGCTGAAACTGCTCGGAAGTGGGTTTTTCAGGATCAGGACAGTATCGAGTGTTCTTATTGGTCGGGACCTGGGGAGTTGCCAGACGAGAAAAAGTCCATATTGAGTCAATTACAGTGTTGCCGAGGTGTGTTTGTCCCACACGTGTGTGTGCTCATTTGGAAGAGCTGTTTAATTAGTGCAGACATGGCTGTGTTCTGTGGGGCCTGAGCAGAGTCAGAGAGGAGGGTAAACATTACAGCATGTACGTGTTGTCATGTTTAATCTTTAACCGGACTGGACTGGACTGAAGGACAAATTACTGCAGGTCAGAGGACAATAAACAGCTCTTAAAAGTCTCCATTTATATTTATAGATCCATCTGCGGATGATGTGTGCAGATATACGTGGAATAGATTTGGAAATCAGATTTTTTTTTTCTAGGCTGAATAGAATAAATAATATCAATACTAAATATTACTGTAATAGGTAATATTCATATTAATTAGGGATGCACGATATATCGGTGACCACATCAGTATCGGCTGATATTAGTGTTTTTTCCAGTATACCGGTATCGGTCCGATGAACATATTTAGCCGTTAAAAACCATTGATTGTCTAACACTGGCGCCTTCATCTCTACATTTGATGTTGCTGCTATTTCACAGATGTTTTTACTTAAATGGTCCTGGACATGAACGTTAAATATGTTTTACTTTTGCTATGTAACAAAGAAGACAATGTGGTCTAATTTGGTATGGGCTTCTTATGAGTAGTTTTCACGTTCTCACAGTGCTTACTTATACTTATTTTCGGTGTGACCAAAATTGAATATCGACATCAGTAATATCGGTTATCGTCGATATCAAAAATCTTAATATCGGACATCAGTATCGGCCAGAAATTTTAATATCGTGCATCACTAATATTAATACATTGTTATTGCTGTTTATAATATAGTAGTACAAATGAAATATTATGTTTTTAACATTTATTTTAAAAGCTATTTAAATTCCTTTATATATCTGTGTTTATTTTTGATTTTATGTTTTGTTTTTCAATGCAAACTATTCTGAACATGATCTCTTGAGTGACAATTAATGAATTTTCATTATTGTTTCCTCAATTAACTGTTTGGTCTAGGAATTACTGAGCTGAAGAAGCTTTCCAGAACCCAGGCTGAAAAATTCAAATAAAAGAACCCAAAATATTCAGTCTGATTTATTCTAGAAAAGTAGGCAAAGCAGCAAATATTCACATCTGAGGGACTGGAAACAGTTAGACAGTTAGTTGCTTATCAAAATAGGCAATTCAGTCAATTCAACTGTCATTCATTCATTCCTATTAAACACATTTATTGCTCAAACAAACTCCTTCTGAGTCCACATATAGTCTCCCAGCTTATCACACCATCTTACTACCAGCCTAATTATGCAACCATGGCGATGACATCACTGAGGTTAGGATGCACGAGGCAGGAAGTGTTCCTCTGTAATCGGCCCGTCTATCCACCACATCTATGTGTCCGTCCCTCCCTCTGCCCTGTGTTCAGCAGATCGGATGAGGGCAGGGTGAGGCCCCTGTCTGCTCACAGATAAAGCCACACAAGTAGGCCACTGTGGGCCCAGCAGGAACGCAACTGCAGATTTTCCCATTTGATAAGGCCGGAGTGGTGGGAGCAATCAGAGGCAACGACATGCACACACAGTGACTGTACTCACGCTCGCTCATATGGACACATACAGTTCACTCATATGTTCAGACACACATTAGAGGCTCTGCCTTATTTCCGTGATCTGCCATTATAGGCTGTTACGCTATCAGTAAGATAAGATCTCCACATCCTCTCTTCCTGTTCTTCATCCTCTCTTCCTTTTTCCTTACTGGTAATTTATCATGTCCTGGTTTCCTTTAATTAGTTTGTATTTTGGTGTAAAGTAAGTTGTTGTCCTATTTTGTTGTTTCCTCTCTAAATTCCCAAACCTGCCAGCAGATTTGAAAGGCATTATTTTTATTTATTTATTTTTCTATAATCAACATTATGCAATTTATTACACTCAGAAACTCAGAAATAGAAATAATTGTCAGATTTTCAACTTTTTGTTAATGCCTGAAAGTAATCATGTGCAATTCACTGGGAAAGTAAAAGTTTAAGCCTAAAGTGATGGCATTTCATCAGATTCACTTCACTATTCGAGTATCATTTGCAAAAAATAACCCATTTGCACCAGATTCCAGGACAAAATGAAAAGATTTTGCTCTCCTCAGTGCAACTGAGAAGCCACGTTTGACCCAAATGCGACCAATAGTCATGTGACAAAAATGTACGACTATTTGGCTGAACTGCAGGCTGTGTTTGCAAAGAGTAGAGCGGAGATAAGTATGGAAACAAAGAATGAGAAAGATCAAGAGGGCAAACTGAAACATACTTGAGCGATAGAATAAAAACAGCACAGTTCATAAACAGTACACAGAGCAGCAAGTCGTCAGCATATTGTTGGATGATACATTCAGCATGGTGAAATATCTTTCTAGTGTTGATGCGCAGAGTAGAGTGAAAAACATGTTAGTTTATAGAGATTATACAAATCTAAGTAGTAAAACACTACCATTTTTTTAAGTAACACGTGTGGGCACTTTTCAGTTGTTGTAAAATTAATCAGAAATTAAAATTTTGTCTTTTGTTTTTTATTATTTGTGGAATTACATGCTTTATTACACAGCACAAAAGACGATTCTGAGTATCTCTGTAGTAAAGCAATATTTTAGTAATTATTTGTATTTGCTCTCTTGCCAGCAGTTACATGAGTAGATCTGGCAACAGCTAGCAGCAAGTTAGCTTAGCTGGTAATTTACCTACCAGAACTTCTAAAGCTAGCTAACTATGGAAGCACAATATAGCTTGTTTTATACTGTTTAATGGGTTAAGTGCAGAATATAACCCTCCATAAAACAAACAGTCCCTTTTTACACCTTTAACACAAAATAACAAGATACAACTGGTTAATTAGTTAGCTTCAGAGGTGCTCATATGCCTATTTTGTTCCCTGTAAACAGGCTAGCTGCAGCTCGCCTCTTTTCTGGTCTTTATCCTAAGCTAAGCTAACTGATTAATTAAGTCTACCTTTAAAAATGTCTATCTATTTCACTAAAACAAATTGTCGTGTGACATGAGCCAACAATTCAATAAAAATAAATGAATTTATTCCATCTGGTTTCAGTGTAGTCGGTTTCAAGCTCGCGCTACATGTTGAATCTTAAAAGCACGCAGCTCTTCTTCCTCTGTCATCAGGGCTGTCCTGGTTTCTCAGAGGAAACTCTGACTGACCACTCCTCACTCTCTCGCCGCTCTCAGGCCTTGAGATGTGTCTATTAACCGGTTACGCCTCTGTT